TAGTTACATTAAATGTCAAGGGTTGATTTTAGTTATTTTTTATGGTCACCAAATGTTGTAGGTATTTTTGGTTTACTTTGTTTTCTTGCAATTTTTTTGATTGCATATTTTGAATAAATAAAGAAAGAATAAACTTAATTGTGTATTATGTTAAGTAAATCTAAGTTTGTAGAACTATTACATCCAAAAATAACATTGCATTTGGTAAAAAATATGTATAATGTCTGGATAAAAAATTGTTGATAATAAATAAGTGTTGATTTGCAAATACTATATAAATGATGATTTTATATTGTTTTAGGTATTAAAAATAATTTTGTTACATATATTTTTAAAAGTTATTTATGACTTCTGAGTTGTATATAATTAAATCAGATAGTCGAATTGCATATAATATTGACTAACAAATCTACAAAAGATATGTGCTTGTAACAATAGGAGTGTACTAAAAACACCTGTGTAGTCAAAGACGAATTATATTTAATTTATTAATTAAATAAAATGTTCCAATTTTTTATATTTTAAAACGTGGATTATATTTACAATATAAAAATAAAAAACCATCAACAGTTTTACATAGGTAATATGAAAATATTTGTATGCGCACAAAGCAGCTGGACTGTGGTTTATGTAGAATGGACTTTTCGCGCAATGTGGCAGCCAATCACCATTTTATTCTTTCATGAAAAAACAGCATATTTGTCATAAAAGCAAAACTGCTTATTGGTTATCGCGTTTTTTTTGCGAGCGCCTTAAGAAAGCCAAATCACTTTACTGTGATAGTCTGTTCAATGAGAGATGAGAATCTAAACGGCCAAATTGTTTATGTTTTGCGCGTATCTCCTACCAGTAAGCTTTTCACTTTACTGCACGTAAAGTGTGTCAGCAGGTGGTGCGTATAAGGGAACGATCATCGCTATCTCTTCTTTGTCTGCTTTTCTTCTACTATAAGCATGAGGCTTCTCTTCTCTTATTGAACGGACTATAAAAAGTTTAAGCCCGTTCTACATTGATCGCAAAAGATAAATCGCACGATCGCATTGTCGCGAGTCGCAAGAATCGTGCGATTTGAGCATCTACATTAGTCGGAAGTTACAGCTAGTCAGCAAAGAATAGAAAAAGCCACAAAAGTAAAGAGAGCTCGATGCTTAGTGGCTGTCGCAAGATCGCAGAGACTCAAACTTTGGGTTTTGGCAAACTTCGCGATTTCTGCTTGCGACGACTTTACAGGTACCTTTTCCTATACGCAGCACGCTGCGACAGCAAACGTCACGTGATCCAAATTTTTTATAACTGCTTTTGAAACTTTCTAACTCATTGCTACTATCTCATTTGATGCCATTTTCTGCGTTACGTTGATGGTATTTTATATAGTATTATTGCACATAAAATACCATCAACATAACGCAAAGAATGGCATTGAATGAGGTATAATAGCAGAAGCAGTTCTAGACAATTTGAGTCACGTGACGTCTATTGCCGCAGCGTGCTGCGTATATGAAAAGGTGCCTGAATCCTTACGACGATCGCAATATCGATTGAGATCGTGCAATCGGCTGCTTGCGCTCAATATAGACCGGGCTTTAAGTGTTAATAGTTAAGCTGCTTTTATATGGAACGTAGCTTGCGTCAGCCAATCAAATCGTCACAGCTACCATACGCAAATACAATGAGACAATTTGATTGGCTGACGCACGGTACGCTCCATATAAAAGCAGTTTTAAGCGTAAGTATCATCACACACAAAATGACGTAAGCTGCAAATGCATAGCATAAGACTGTATGTACGCTAACAAGCAATACAGTGTCATCCCACATCGCTATTTTAAAGAAATTACGCTTTAAGATTAAAAAGAAAAAATGTGTGTATATATTTCTTTTAAGATGTTTGTGTATTTTTGATATATAAAAACATTTAACTTTTTAAAAACACGATTGATAAACGTCCTTTGATAGGTTAAAGAAGCATACTACATAAATATCTCAATATTTCAGGTTTTTTTGTGGGATGTCATTGTATTACATATTCGCGTCTATATGGACCAATAAAGGCGGGCGGGTTCCGTTTGACCACAGTACGATTCGACACCGCTCGATTCGACACAGATTTATTCGACACCAAATTATTCGACACCGTACGATTCGACA